AGAAAAGGTAAAACCTCTTCAGAGGTGTCTCTCTGGACCTAGAGATGCCTCCTTCCATCACTTCAGGCCAGCCAGTTGCTGGCGGGAATGCGTAACCCACCAGTAGCCAGCAGGCCTTTTGCATTAGGAGATAAGATGTCTAGTAGCCATCAACTCTGGGCTCAAGATGTCATGATGGCCTGGAACTGACTGTACTAATTGGTTCTAGTAGGTCAGAGGCAGGAACTTCTTCCCCTGAGGGAGATTATGACTCAGACTTGGCGGATGGGGGTGGAAAATAAGGGTGTCCATGGGTCTTTGCGGGCTGTCAGGGGTGGGGAATGCTAAGTGGCGATAGGACAGTGCTGGCAGCGGGGAGGAAAGACAGGCAACAGGTTGAGATCTAAAGCATCCCAGCTGAGTACAGCAAGTGAGCGTGAGGTGCAGGAAGCTAAGTGAAAGGAACGATAATTACACATTCACAACTTTTGGTCCTTAAGCACTTATTTCCTTAACTTCCCCTTCCCCTGGCCTATTCCAGAACACTAAACCTTCAATCCTATTTAATTCATGCCTGTTGGTCATGAAGTAATTCCGTTTACAGTACGTTCATTGTTGTCTCTAACCTACTTTGCCTTTAGGGCACTTGAAAACTAGTCTTCCTTGGTTGGGGTTTTCCTTCATCAAAGCTTCCTCCTACTTGTACTTTAGATCTAGGACAAGATGAAAGGAAGAAGCTATAAATCCCACTCTTCTAGACCTCAATTTCACCTTTCCTTTGAGGAGCTGAGTAGGGCAGAGGCCAAGGCTAGATTCATCACTCAGAGGTAATTAGAAGAAAGACAGGCAAGGCCAGGTCAAAAGGAAAGGGAAGGTGGTGGCAGGGTGTGAGTGTGTGTGTGTGTGTGTGTGTGCGCGTGTGTGTGTGTGAGTGGAAGGAGGGCTCTAGGCAATATGACCTGAGCCTCCCTTCCCTTTCTTTCTACTGCCCAGAACTCAAGGTTCCTTGAAGCTTCAGACAGATACCCTAAGCATTGCTCAGGGTAGATTGGAGAGAGAAGTGACAGCTCAAAAGCTCTATATCTTTCAGTACAAGAATAGCCAAGCTAGGGTCTGTGAGAACTTTCAGAAATGGCCTAGCAAACCATCAGACAATAGCTGTGAGAGGGAAAACTCCGAGTCAAGAGTAGGGCAAAGCGAATGAAGGAGGAAAGAGAAGGAACGGGGTAGGGGGGTGGGGGTGGGGAATACATAATAGAAAGAATGATCCTGGGGAGTACAGGAGGGTGACTTTGTAGATCCTTCGTAGATCCTTCATCTCTTGCGTTTCCCAAGCTCTTTGTCTCTTTCCTCCCCCAGGAGAACTGTCAGAATGAGGAGATCCTGAACAGCCTCAAGTACGTCCGCCCTGGGGGTGGATTCCAGCCCACCTTTACCCTTACCCAAAAGTGTGATGTGAATGGTCAGAATGAGCATCCTGTCTTTACCTACCTGAAGGATAAGCTCCCCTACCCTTACGACGACCCGTTTTCCCTGATGACCGATCCCAAGTTCATCATTTGGAGCCCTGTGCACCGCTCAGATGTGTCTTGGAACTTTGAGAAGTTCCTCATCGGGCCAGAGGGGGAGCCCTTCCGCCGCTACAGCCGCACCTTCCAGACCATCAACATCGAGCCTGACATCAAGCGCCTCCTCAAAGTTGCCATATAAACACCAGCAGATCTCCTGCTTCCTCCTGCTCCTGAGTGTCTTTCCTGAGCATTCAGTGTGCCCTCAGGAGATTCTGCTGGGCCCAGGCTTTCCCTTCAGATCAGTCCCCTCATTGAAGAGTCTTTTGCCTTTCTGGTCTGCCTGTTTCCTTTCCTTCCCCCCAAACTTCTGGTTGGTGATTCAACCTGGGGCTCCAAGACGGGTGGGCTCTGAGCCTTCACAGAATGATGGCACCTTCCTAAATCTGTATGGGAGGTGTCTGAGAAGTGTGAGGGTCCAGAGCCAGCCTTCTAGCTGAGTCCAATAAAGGGCAGGTGTGGAAACGGCCAGGCTCTCTGTGTCTCTTCCTTGATGGAGGTGGGAGGGACGGTATAAAACCGCAGGTGGGACTGAGGGGCTGGCAGCACACAAAGGCTGAGGAGAGGGAGGCTCCGATCAAGGGGACACTCCAATTACTGTCTGGAAAGCAGGCTCAGGTCACCGTCTGGGTGGCAGGCGGAGTTTCGGAAAATGTGAATTGTACTATTACTTTATGGCTCTTCTTCAGAACTGGGGAAAGGAGGTGATAACGAGAAGAAAGGGGAAGAAAAGTGGAGGAAGCCCTGGGAAGTTAGAGGATTCCAATCAGGAAGATGTCACTCTCACTGTGGGTACTGGGCTGACTAAATGTTGCCTGCACCTTGAGAAGCTGAATTTAGTCCACTTTAATGACAGCAAGGGCGTGGAGGGTACAGTTGCTGGGAACACAAAGAGCACTTTACCCATTTCCTGATCACCTTGTGGAGTAAGGTTTGTTTTAGATCCTTTGTTAGATTGACTCTCCCTCCTTTTTAAAGTTCACTTTCCACCCTTGTCTTTCTCACACTCACAAATTCACAAATGCAGGAACAAGACAGACAAGTTTAGGCATGAATGACTGGTTTCACTTCCTTTTTTTTTTTTTTTTGTGGTACGCGGGCCTCTCACTGTTGTGGCCTCTCCCGCCGTGGAGCACAGGCTCCGGACGTGCAGGCTCAGCGGCCATGGCCCACGGGCGCAGCCGCTCCGCAGCATGTGGGATCTTCCCGGACCGGGGCACAAACCCGCGTCCCCTGCATCGGCAGGCTGACTCTCAACCACTGCGCCACCAGGGAAGCCCTGGTTTCACTTCTTCTTCCATGAGAGTGGGGATGTGAGAGGGCCTCCCTTCAGACAAGTCAGACCGTTTATAACCCGCCAACACGATAGCTGTTCTGTGAGAAGAGTTCTGCCGAATGGCTCTGAAGGACAGTGCCCCAGATTCCTCACCTAGTACAGGCATACTCAAAAGCACCACCAAGACAAGGTCCTATCATGCTCTAAAAAAGACACCAGCTGACAGACCACTGCCCTCTCATTTTGTCTCACAAACCTCTTCTTGGAAACTTCTCATTTTGCCCTTCTTTCTTTGATCATTAGATGGAATATTTTACTTCTCTTCATCGAAGCCCTGAAGGGACAGTTCTCCAAACTGGACACACAGCTTGAGAACCCCAATGCTGAGGGGAAAATGCTGAGGGATGTTCCCCGTAACTATTTTCCAAGCACTTGCATCATTTGAGAAGTAAATGTGGAATAGAGGTTAAGGGTCCCTACTGTCTCACCTTCTACTAAAGCTATGTCATCAATGGTGCTTTATTTCAAAACGGTAACCTGAGTGGTATAGTATAGTGGGAATCCCCTGGCATCCTTCTGCAGACTTTCTGCTAAATTAAGGCCATCCTTAATTTGACTCTTGAGACTCAAGCCCTTCAAGATTTCTACTGTCAGAGCCAAGAGCTGGGGTATGGGTTTGTGGGCAGGACCAAGCATTGATTTTAGAGCAATAACTGCAGAGACAAACTGCTTCCCTGAAGAAATAAAATCAGAATTCATGTGGGATGCCAGCATGATTTGTTCATCATCTTTACAGTGCTATTGCCTGTTATGATGTCTAACAGCAGTGTCAGCTATTCTGGATGCTGGTATTATGGCACAGGCAACTTAGGGCCTGATGTGCCAGAACAATGTGTTGGGTCTTCCCCATGAGGCTCAAGTTGAGAGAATTATTTAGAGACTCCCAAAGGAATGGGAATTACAGTGTAAGTGATTCTGCAGAGAGAGTCAGAAAGGGCCTTAATGCTAGGAAGAGGGCTCCTCACTTGGTCAGGGAAATGCTGTTTGCTTCAGAAATGAGAAATTGTTTCCTTTTCTTTATTCCTCTTCTTGTTGGTCCCCTTTACATCCTCAGAAGTATCAGCTTATGGTCATAAACAGACATGGCAAACCTTAATATAATCACCCACTTTCCTAGATAAACATAATCTTTTAATCAAATTTCCCTAGGGGCATTCAGGAAGTAAGGAGAAGTCCCATAAACAAGCCTTCCCAGAAGTGCTGAGATAATGCTACTCGATTTAGAGGAGGGACAGAGGGAATCATTCCTCTGAGGGCTCTTACAAAAAATATGGCTTGGAATAAGTGATTTAGGGGGCCAAGATACATAGACTGAAACTGATGATTATTTCCATGACTATGTTCCCACCGTTGCATCCCCTTAGTTTAAGGAACACTGAGCCAAACCCTTATTGGTGATTTCAAATCTGGTGATTTCTTATAATCACCATCACAACCATCATCCAAATTACCATACACTATACTCCCACACTGCATTAAGTACTTTCTATATGCTAAGTTATTTAATCCTCATACTGACCCTGAGGAATTTTCATCTCTATTTAAAGAGAAGGTAACTGAGCAAGACACTTTTCAAGGACAAAGGGCTAGTGAGGGGCAAGGTTGAAAGTTAAATCCAGGTCAGTTTGACTCCAAAGCTTCTACTATTAACCACACACAATAGTGCTTCCTTCTGTCTCAGAGTTTCTGCATTAAGACTGCTGAGCTGCCTGTCCACAGCACTGTATGACCTAATGACACTTTCACTTACATTATATCATTTGATTTTAAAACTCCGTGAAGGAGGCATGATTATGTATATTTTTCCATTGAAGAAACCAAGGTACTGACAGAATGACTTGCCCAATGTCCCACCATGAGCAGGTGGCAAAGCTAATTTCAGACCCAGGTCTCTTGATTTCCTTTCTACCCAACCATAGCATATCTCAAATAGAGACTTGTACTACAGTCAAGAAACATACATTTTAAAACTAAGAGCCTCAAATTCAGTCAAGTAAGTTAGCTTTGCTCAGGAAACAGAAGAATGAAACCGAAAGGATTCTTGTTACACTGAAATAAAGAACAGTGAATGTATACTTATTACTGATGACTTACAAGTAACAAACCATATCTGGCTCTTTCTAGACTATATCATATGTCAATTAATTAGTACTGGGAGAACCCAAGATCATTTGAGGAAGACAGAGCTAGCCAAAACAACACAACAGCAAACAGGCTGAGCTTTGAACTCCAAGAGCCTAACCAGGTCGACCCCAGACCTGTACATCATGGAGCAGGTAGAGAAAGAATGAGGTGCTAGGACAAGTTCACGTTCCCCACTACACCTACAGGTGATTTCTTCTTCTTCTTGTATCTCAGAAAGGGAAGCAAAGAAGACCAATGCCTTTGCCTGGTTCCCCTTTACTTAAACAGAGAAATATAGATGCAGGAGAACTGAGTTCAAGAGGTCTTTATTCTATTAGATCCATAAAAGAATTCTAGAAGATGATAAAGTATTGCAAAACACAGTACAATGCTGGTTTAATAATAATGAAATATATGGATAGGATCTTACGTATAAAATTTTTGTAATATATTGTCTAAAACAGATAATTACACATTCAGCAAGAGATGAGGATATCAGGAGGGGCATATAAAATCATACTCTTGAGCTCCAAATGACTAAGTTGGAAGCATTAGCAAACTCCATGAAGGGGCAATTCAGAAGCTATAATGGGCTTAGTGCTGCTATTTAAGGTAATGAAACATTTTCTCTGCTTTCTGGATTCATTTAACCAAACGATTTCCTCAGCAGGTCAGATATAGATTTGCAGAAAGTGGAAAGCATTTCCCAGGAATAAAACAACTGATGCTTAAGGAACAGCTGCCTTAACTTTTCTGAATAATAAATCTTGGTCTGACATGCCTAGATTCCTCAGAGTGCTGTCATTGATATCCTCAACCTCTTCCTAACCTTGCTAGACTCTGATACTTCACGGGTACTGAACACTATTACTGAGGGCATCACTGTACTAACTATGTAACCTGGACTAAGTTACTTCTTTGTGCCTCAGTTTCTCTGGCTCTAAAACTGGGATAACAATAGTACCTACCCTCATGGAATTGTTAATGAGGATTAAACAACTGCTTAAAAAGGCCTTGGCACATAGTAAGTACTCAATAAACCTCAGCTATTATCATTATTCCTGTTACAAAACAAAGCTTTTCCCTGATGTCAACAACGTTGCTCACTCAGTTCAGAATGTCTGAGATATGAATAGGAAAAAATTTTGTTTTAATGCCTGACCCTTAAGTTTTGATTTCATAATGAGAAGAACTAACTGAAACCATATCATTCTGTCTAGAACTTTATATGCCTTCCAAAGCATTTTATATTCATTATTCATTTGGATCTTCTAACAATACTGTGAAGGAAGTATAACATCAATTTATACTAGTCCAATTTTATAGAAAGGGGACAATAAAGTCCAGAATGACACTTTGCTTAATGGTTATACTGCTACCAAATGGCAGAGGCCTAAATGCCAGGTTTTATGACACCCAAGCCAGAATTCTTTCAACTATGCAAGGTAAGATATTCTAAGATCCCTTTGGAGTAATTGAAACCATTCTATTTATATTAAATAAAGTCCACACTTTATTCAGATTTCCCTAGTTTTACCAAATGTTCTTTTTCTGGTGCAGGATCTCATCCAGGATACCACATTACATTTAATAGTCATGCTCTTTTTTGGCTGTGAGAGTTCCTCAGACTTCCTTGTCTTTGATGACCTTGACAGTTTTGAGGAGTACTGGTCAGGTATTTTCCTCAATTGGGATTCCTCTCTCAACTGGGATTTGTCTGAAGTTTTTCTCATGATTAGACTGGGGTTACGGGTTTTGGGGAGGAAGACCACAAAGGCAAAGTGTCATTCTCATCACATCATATCAAGAGTAATGCTATCAAGGTGGCTCATCGTCAATGACGATAATCTTGATCACCAGGCTAGTGTTTGTCAGGTTTCTCAGTGAAGTAAAAGTTAAAGTCACTTTTCCCCCTTTCCATACTATACTCTTTGGAAGGAAGTCACTATGCAAACCTATACTTAAGGAGTGAGGAGTATCTACATACATTATTTGAAATTTTTCTGCATGGGGGATTTGTCTATTCTCTCCAATATATGTATTTATTTATTCAGTCATTCATTTATATCAGTATGGACTCATGAATATTTATAGTTTGGTTTATAATCCAATACTACTTTATTTTGTTGCTCAAACTGTTCCAACTTTCATCTCTGGGAGCTCCTTCAGCTGGCTCTTCTGTCCCTTTGACATACTCCCAATCATTGTGATTTTTCGTTTCAGCACTTCGCTTTTTTGTGGCTCAAGATGCTCCAAGCTCATCCTGTGTATTTACTGCCCCAGTCCTAGACTCAGTCATTTCCCCAAGGAGTCCTAATTCCTTTTATTGGAACCAAGATCTGGGCACTAGATGTGCTTTCCATCCTAGTTATTTTTCAGCCACATAGCTGCTAACAAAGATGCTTCATTCTGGCGGCACTGATGTGCACTGGGAACTTTAGCAGAAAAGCTCAGCTCTACAGAACAACAATCCCCTAAATTACTTTTTCTTTCTAACTTTTTTTTTTTTTTGGCCGTGCAACTTGATTTATGGGATCTTAGTTTCCGGACCAGGGACTGAACCCAGGCCATGGCAGTGAAAGCGCCGAGTCCTAACCACTGGACCACCAGGGAAGTCCCACTTTTTCTTTCAGAGAATAGGTAAGCCTAAGCAGAAGAAAATAATATGCAAATAATTTCCATTATAAACTAAGTTAGACAAACCATCAGGCTTGCTGTATTGTAAACCAACACAACATTGTGATTACAGAGCTGCAGAAGGATCCTTAGAATAACAGAGTCATTTGTCGGGGGTCGTCAGGGAGAATACTGATCGTATCTTCAGCTTTACCACATAACAGACACAGCATGGTATACTCCTAGAACAAGATAAAGTGCACAATTACCTTGAGGAACTGGGAGAAAGATGCTTCGTAACTTTCTCTGGCAAAACCGTTCTCTGTAAATTGTCATGGATATGATGTCTGTATCTTAGATCAATTTCTTCAACACCTATAAGCAATGTCTTAGGTTTAGTCTGTGTATCCCAGAGCCTTTTGTTTATATAAATTGAATACATGCGGACGCTCTATATACTATGTATACAAGAATGTCACCTTGGAAATGCATGCCTATTTCCTGGACTTAGAAAACACACATACTGGGCTTACTTAGTGCTGCTATTTAAAGTAATGAAGCAATTTGAGTGTGGGCCCCTGAGGACAAATTCCTGTTCTTAGAGCCGCTCCTTTCTAGAATATTCAACACTAATAAGCAACAGAAATGAGTTTTAAAACAAAAAGGAAAAAAATTTCCAAACCCTAAGAGCTATTTTTATCTACCCCAGAAAAAATAAACAATTATGTTAAATCCATTAGTATGTCATGTCTCATATTTAGATAGCTAATTGTCTAGAATTTGATCTATTTAAGGAGTTTTTTGTTTCTTGGGTTTAATAAATGTCCAGACTGGTGACAGAAGTTATTTTGTTTTAGGCAAAAATCCTTAGGGCAAAGTCCTGTTCTTATAGCTGTTCCTTTCTAGAATATTTAATATGGTCATAAACTACAGAAACATATTTCTTTCAAAACTTTTACTCTAAAACTTTTTATCTTCTTTAGGAAAACAAGCATCTATACTAAATCTATTAGTATTTCCACATCTGACTTTGAGATTGCTGGCTGCCTGGAAATTGATCAGTCAAGGCAGTTTGTGTTTCATGGGTCTCACATTAGAGAGAGCGTCACGGAGATAAACAGTGACTACAGTACAAAGACTCAGAACCAGGCAACTGCCTTTCCATTTCCTACTACAGAGTTCAGCAACATAAGCCCCACAGTGCTCATATTTGCTTGGTGTTTATTTTTCTTTTCTTTAGTAGTTTTCATTCCTGTGAATAAGATTCATTTTATAAGGCTGCATCACATAATAATTCTTTTCATCTTAAAACATCCACATTTAATTTTTTTTTTTTGTGGTACATGGGCCTCTCTCACCGTTGTGGCCCCTCCCACCGCAGAGCACAGGCTCCGGACGTGCAGGCCCAGCGGCCACGGCCCACGGGCCCAACCGCTCCGCAGCACGCGGGATCCTCCAGGACCGGGGCATGAACCCACGTCCCCTGCATCGGCAGGCGGACTCTCAACCACTGCGCCACCAGGGAAGCCCCAAAGACCACATTTAATTTTAAAGTCTATTCTACACAAACAGTAGAAACACAGGCTATAACTCAGCAAACAAATATGAGTCTCATGAATCAAAAACAAAATTAAAATCTACTCTCTCCAAGGTTTTACTGCTTTCAAATCCTACTTTCACCTACCAGACATTACTAGTAGGATGTCAACCTCTCACTGGAAATGAAGAAAAAAGTAATAAAGTCAAAATGGGAAAATGTGTGAAGCTAGACAACTATTTGAGTTTTCAACTAATCTACCCATTGACAAGTTTTTATTAAGTGCCTAAAGGCTCTGCAATGTGCCAGGTGCACCGGTAGACATGAGAGAAGGCAAGGACAAAGTCTGATCTTGCAAAACTTACAGTCTAACTTGGGAGAAAGGAAAAACCTAACACATGGTATAATCTGGAAAGGCTGTTAAATCAGTAAGACTGATTACACCTGTAATCTTTAATTTATAGGCAGTCTGGAATCCAAATTTCATTGTAGGTCAATTATTTGGAATTCAGAAGCAGTTTCCCACAGAGATAACGTTGCACATGGCAGTTAGGTTCCCAGGGAAATCCAGGAAGTCTTTTAAATTTATACTGCACAAGTACTATAGAATCTAACCACAGACAGCAGTGCTTCTGTGGGAAAATATGTCTAGAATTCTCACTTGGGATGCCAGGAACACATTCTCACTTGGGATGCCAGGAATATGGTTGGATCAGGACACCCTTCACCCAAACTGACCAAGTTAGAAGAATCAGAATTCCCCCCAGTCACTCATGGAGACCTTCAAAGGCTCCACCTGGGCAAAGCCTGAGGGTAGAGATTTGGAAGGAAAGGTGGAGTGGGTGGAATCACCTTTGGGCAAGATCAGATCCTTGTTTTATGCTGAGGGTCCCATGGTCCTTTTCCCTCTATTATTACCTGCTAATTCTGACCCTTAGTCCTCTCCTTCCCTGGTCCACAGAGGAACAGGGAGCAGTCTCACAGTTTCCCTCTTGTTTCCTGAGGCAAATATATAGTCCTTTTAATGGATTTTAGGATTATATAAAAAATACCAGATACCTGTAATCATTTATAACTTATTTTCTGTTTAAACTCTGTACTTACGTCTCTAATTCCCCTCTACTCTTGCCATCAGAAAATCTTACTTTAACAATGGTTTTGTTAAAAATGAATGTTTAAAAACAGAATCCTTATCTTTTAGAGATTCATATTGAAATATTTACAGAAGTAGTAATATGTTTGGGATTTGCTTCAAAGTAATCCTGTGGGGAGATGTGGAAATGGTTAGGTACGAATAAAGCAAACTGAAGCTGGGTACTGGAGATTAATACACTATTCTGCCTACTTTTGATTATGTTTAAATTTCCCATAAGACATTTAAAACAAAACAAAATATTACCAATGGTGGGAATCCCATCTTGAACCTCAATGGCTGCTGGAATAAGATGGGGGCTGGAATGGGGTGGGGCTGAGGAAAGTAAGTCACAGCATCTGAGTATGAAGAGTTCTTGGGGTCATCAGACTAAGATGGAAGTTACCAGCTAGCCAGTCACAGGAGTCGGGGCCTGCTGTAGGTACAAGAAGAGCTCAGAAAAGGGAGAAAGCAGTATGGGCTGAACTATTAAGAATAAGAAGGAGATAGAATTTAAGTTCAGCTTGAAAGAGGTAAGATTTAGTTGGCTTGAAGGTAGCGAAAGGGACACATTAAGTCAAGGAAAAAGCACGAATAAAGACAGTGATATGGAATACAGCAAGCACATCACATATGGAGTAGCAGAGGAGTGACAGGATGATGTGTTTCCAGAAGATTAATTTGAGGGCAGTGTGCACGACTGTACTGTGGGGACTGCTGCAGTAATTTAGGTTTCAGCAGTATGGTCCCTGATACGAGGGGTGGCAGTGGAGACAGACAAAAGCAAGAGAAACTAAGGAAGAAAGGAGGGCAGGGAGGGCATTAGGGTTAAAGAAGGAGATCTGGGAGATATCCGATAGGTTTCATCAGACACTGAGGGTGCATGTGCTCAATGTCTGGGGGAGTACAGAGAAGGTTCCTAGACCAGCGACCAAAGCTCAGGGGAAAAGCAGTTAGGGAGAAACAGGAGAGGAAACCAGACAGTAAGCAAAGGAACAGTCAAAATGATTTAAAAAGAAGAAAAAAGTCTAGATCTATGGACCCCAGGGGAAGAAATGCTTCAAAAAGACAATGGTGGGCTTCCCTGGTGGCGCAGTGGTTGAGAGTCCGCCTGCTGATGCAGGACACGGGTTCGTGCCCTGGTCCGGGAAGATCCCACATGCCGCGGAGCGGCTGGGCCCGTGAGCCATGGCCGCTGAGCCTGGGCGTCCGGAGCCTGTGCTCCGCAATGGGAGAGACACGCATATCTCAAAAAAAAAAAAAAAAAGACAATGGTTATCAAAACCAGATCCAGAAGAGATATTAAGAGAGAGAAGAACTGAGGCAAGGCCACAGGATTTGGCCACCTTATAGGAAATCTATGAGAGAACAGTTTTAGTAAAGTGAAAATGAAAACCAGTTTGTAGGTTGTTAGGAGGAGCACAGGGAAATAAGGGAAATAGGGTAAAGAGCTACTCAAGGAAAGAAGCAAAAGGAGAGATGATCAGAGGATGAATGAAAGAGGCAGCTGAGTGAAACAAAAGGATTTTAGTTTATTTCTAACAAATAAAGAAGAACTAAATATATTTAATGTAAAAATGCTTTAAATCTCACGGAGAAAAGAGGATGCTAGGAAGAGAGAAGATAACATGAGATTCCTGAGGAAATGCAGTGGGGGTAGCCATAGAGAGGAGGAAATAAAAATCTCTACTACAGGAGGGCAAGAAGAGAGTCTAAAGTTGGGGCAATGCTATGAATGGTGTGCAAAAGGAGAGTAGTGAGAAATGAGGGAAAGGGAGGCTGGCCAGCCCAGCAAGAACCTTGGGATGGGGATCTTGGATATTATACTGCAGCTGAAGGTGAGCTACGGAAAGGCCAATGAGGTAGTCTGAAAGCATTATTTTAAGAAAAATATGCTGGTGGCAGAATATAGAATATGGGGGAGGGGGGAGGGGATGTTGGGAGAGAAAGGACTGGCGGTGGAGAGTCTAGTTTAAGAGTTTTTTCCAAGGGAATTCCACACTATATAGGCATCGTGACTATAGCCATCTTCCTTTAGGAACATCTGGGGAGCTCTGAAAATGGCTGTGCTCAGTCATAAAGGAAAATCAGCTAGACTTTGGTCTCATGGCAGTGACACACAATGGCTCAATTAGGGTATAAACAGGCAATCTCAATATCCACTTACAGACTCTAAAAAGCTCACAGGAGCTTCAGGAACTGCTGCAAAATAGCTATAAGCACTCCTTTCCTCCCATGAACGGACAGAGCTGCTTCTTTAAGCCCCCGACATGTTCATTCCCCTATTTGGCCACTATTCATTCACTGAGATCTCGATTTTGCCGTAAGTGACATCTATCATGTAAGTATCTTTGAGGCATAATTTTTGGATCCTGGGGAGATGTGGTCAGGATGTTGTTAAGATGGACCACAAGATATTAGACCAGATTCTGACAGGTGACTAAGTGCCTTCTTCCACACTGAAATAAGAGTGAATGAGAGTGCTTATACTATTTTATAAGATTCTGCTGTAGAAGATTCTTTTCCCCTAATTATATAGCACCACCCAAACTTAAAGGATTAAAAAAACTTCCCTTGCCTGTTAAAACTCTTGCCTCACATTTATATCCTCTGGATGAACATGTAGTTCACACTAAATAAGTAACTCAATCTGAGGGCTTGAGAGTGGAGGCAGTGAGGGACAGATACAGGTAAGTGTGTCCTCATGCTTTCCAGTTTGCCCTTGGTTCTCCCTCACTGTCCAGCTTTTCTTCCTGACCATTAAACCTGTGAATCTTCAGCAACTTCAGGCCTACACCAGCCTGTAAAATTCTGTAGAATTCTTCACATGCTCTCACAATTGTATAAGGACTAATCCTTATACTACATCCCTATTCTCTATCCTTATATGGTTCAGCTTCTCTCCTCCAACCATGATACACCTATCTTGTCATTTTACTTATCAAATAATATTAAAATATCCTATTGCAATTGAGACTGCAGAGTTGCTTGACTCTACGGGTCTATAAGGGAAACAAAGATAATCTCGTTAGCATGATTTCCACGCTCAGCAAGTATGGTGGCAGTGGGCAGGCCAACACTTAAAGCCAAGAATTGTGCAGTCATGTAACTGGGTAGAGAAAAAAGAGGCACAATAGTAACCTCATATGAAGCCATAATGTGCTGTTCTTTATAAGCAAAATGAGATATCATTTTTAAGGCATGTGTTTTGCTTTGTGACAGCTGTGAAGATAGGTTTGAACAGATCCACCCGCATCTGAAGTGTCTCTCAACTTACACAAGTGGAAGACAGGGATGGTCTCCTCTAAGATTCACTAGTACTTCATTTATAAAGACAATACCTAGATTTTTCAAGGGTACTCTTACTGTTCCCCTCCCCCCGCAATAACATACCCACATTTATACATTTACCTGAAATTCATCCATGATACTGAACGTATACTCATGCCTGGCTATTACGTGATGACAATTCCTACAAAGATCTGCTGAAACAGAGAAAGACTTAATTAAGTCTTAGAAGGTGCCCTAAGACAGTAAAATTTCTAGTCTTAGTATGGTATTGCTTTGAAAGAATCTTAACTCTGTCATATTTAACACAGCAGGAAACCCATTATAATATCTACCTTGATAAAAAAAATCCAGACTCTGTCACACAGCAACACTATATAATTAAGAGCCTGAACTCAGAGACTTAATGTGCATATATTCATTCCTATTGAAAGCTCTCTAAGGTAATCAATTAACGGATATGTAGGTGTGTTTTTGAAACTAGCTGGACCTGTCTAACTATGTAGGAGCTTTTATTCTCAGGAATGATAGAAATTGTGCTACTAACCAATCATAAACAAAAAGCTAACACTAGATGGTAAAGTGAATTTAGCAGTAACAAAAGGCTCTAGTAAAAACAATATAGTAATAATAACTATGATACATTGAGTGCTTAATGTGTGCCAGATACTGTTTTAAATACTTTGCAACTGTTTATTCACTTAATGTTCTCAGAAACCCAATGAGGTAGATACTACTGTTATCATGTTTGTAGGGATAAGGAAACAAAGGCACACTATGGATAAGAACTAGGAAGACCACAGCTGAGCTATGAAGTGTTGGAACCAGAATTCAAACCCAAGCTTTCTTGCTCCAGAGCCCTTGCTTTTGACCACTATCCTCTACTACCTGGAAAAAAACAGAGTTTAAAGGGGTACATGCTACAGGAAAGAAAAAGATTCTTCTAATTTAGAACATTTTTCCACAGTCTGACTCTATTCTAAAGGCTTAGTGTCTTTCACACCTTTCTTTCAAAATATCATTATTTGCACATTTAATCCTCATATAGTCAGAACATACCAAAAAATCAGGAGACAAGCAAAAAGGAAATGTGAACAATTTAAATAGTTGCCATAATATCTGGGCACAAAAATGCACATATACTTAATTTACTTGTAGAGATTCTTAGTGTCAACCTCAGAACTTATTTATTTTTACTATAGTTATTTGTTTGATTTCCTAGTATCAAGGATGAGGAATAGCATATGAAGGTAGCATACTTACAGTAGCAAAAGAAAGAAACTATAAACTGACAGTAACAAAAGAGACAAAAGCTATAAAAGCAGAAACAAGACTAAAAAAACCATAGCATCCCAGAGGCATTTAGTATAAGGGCAAACAGCCCTAAACACTTTAATAGCTGTTGGAGTGCATCACTGTATTATATTATAGTAGAAAGTGAAAATTCACATGGAAGACTCTAAGTTAAAAAAAAAAGTCCCTATATCTTGTTTCAGAAGACACAGTCTTTAAAGATAAACAAAAGAAAACTGGTGCCTGAATCATAAGCTTCAGTTATCTGCAAAAGTCATTTATGTGGAGTATCTGATGTTGCTACATAAATGAGATGTTACCAACATTTTCCTCTTAAAAAACTAACTAGTGATTTTGTGTTGCAATATGATAGTGAAATAGGCCTCATAAGACTTTGTGCAACCTCACTCCCAAAAGCTGATACCTGCTAACGGGCTCAGATGAAAAAAAAGTCTACTTACGATCATAGGTAACTATTTCTTCTCCATCTTCCTCTTTCAAAGATTTGTTTGTGATCAGCATAAAATCCCGCTTACTGCACACTGCACAGCCTATAAAGTTCAGCAAGAAAGATCCATTCTCTAGGCAGATGTTACCCTAAAATAAGAAAAACAGAATTTAATTTTCTTTTTTGAGGGGATTTTAATTTTCTTATATTTCAAAATCCTTGGTGAAAATGATTAACAGACTTACGGTCTCTAAAGACAAAAAACATGGCCAGAATTTACTTGCTTGAAGTGTACACCAAGTAATTTTTGAAATTACTAGCTTTCCTCTAGAAGTGTTACTCATAGTAAATAAAACTGAAGAAGTGTTAGAGCTTAGGACTGCAACTGTGTTTAAGAGGACTAAATGCAAATGGATATTTAGAAACAACTTAATGAAGTCTTAATATAACATGTGAAAAGGAAAAATCAGAAAAATCTAATAGCCAACACTATTAAATGAGGTATCATATTATAAAGCTAGAATGAAAATTCAATCAAAATGGAAACACTGAGCCAATGATAAAAATGATCTTATCCACTGTGATGCTCAGTTGACTGTTGAAACAGCATTTTTTCAAGCCTTAAAAATACCACAAAATAAACAAAGAGAAATAAACTCTCAGCTCTATAGATGTCAGTCCCTAGGATATGTGTGATTCAGGCAGAAAAGGTAAGTTCCGCAATTCATCAGATTGACACCATGGCATTTAAAAGAGAAAGGGTTTTACTTGTCACTAAGAAACTAAACAACATATACTCCTGGCTCAAGGGAGGTCTTTGCTAATGGCTTACTAATAATTGTTCAGAACTTAAAGTCACTTCATGAACTACCTAGTTCTACTAATTTCTTTATTTTTTAATTTTTATTTTATATTGGCGTATAGTTGATTAACAATGTTATGTTAGTTTCAGGTGTACAGCAAAGTGATTCAGTTATACATGTATCTATTCTTTTTCAAGTTCTTTTCCCATTTAGGTTATTACAGAATGTTATTTCTTTTTTTAAAATTAAAGTATAGTTGACTTAAAATATTATAATTAGTTTCAGGCATGCAACATACTGATTCAATATTTTTATAGATTCCACTCCATATAAAGTTATTATATAATATGGGTTATATTTCTTCTGCTGTACATTACATCCTTGTAACTTCTTCATTTTATACCTAGTAGTTTGTACCTCTTCATCTCCTTTACGTCCTCCCACCCCTCTCCCCTCTGGTAACCACTAGTTTGTTCCATGAATCTGTGAGTTTGTTTCTGTTTTGTTTTGTTCATTCGTTTGAATAAACAAATTTATTTATCTATTTTAATATTTATTTATTTAAATATTTATTTATTTATTTTGGTTGCACCGGGTCTTAGTTGAGGCACATGGGATCTTCGCTGCGGCATGTGGGATCTTTAGTTGTGGCATGTGGGCTTCTAGGCGGCAGCATGTGGATTCTTAGTTGCGGCATGTATGTGGGATCGCCAACCAGGGATGGAGCCTGGGCCCCCTGTATTGGCAGTGTGGAGTCTTACCCACTGGGCCACCAGGGAAGCCCCTGCTTGATTTTTTAGATTTCACATATAAGTGAAAACATACAGTATCTGTCCTTCTCTGACTTATTTTGCTAAGCATAGTACTCTCCAGGTCCATCCATGTTGTCACAAATGGCAAAATTTCATTCCTTTTTATGGCTGAATAATATATATTGTATATATATACTACATCTTCTTTATCCATTCATCTGTGATGGACACTTAAGTTGCTTCCACATCTTGGTTATTGTAAATAATGCTGCTATGAATACTGGGGTGCATATATCTTTTTGAATTAGTGTTTTCATTTTCTTCGGATATATACCCAGGAGTGGACCTGCTGGATCATATCGTAGTTGTATTTTTAATTTTTTGAGGACCCTCCACACTGCTTTCCATAGTGGCTGTACCAATTTACATTCTCACCAACAGTGTACTGGAGTTTCCTTTTCTTCACGTCCTCGCCAACACTTTATTTTTTAAGTGGCATGGGTCATATCTAGGCTTCCACCATGCTTCTATCAGCCAGACTTGCATTTAATTAAATTAAATTAATTAATTTACTGGTCACACCACACAGCATATGGGATCTTAGTGCTCCAACCAGGGATTGAACCCATGCCCCCTGCGGTGGACGCATGGAGTCTTAACCACCGGACCGCCAGGGAAGTCCCACCAACACTTATTATTTGTTGTCTTTTTGATAATAGCCATTCTGACAGGTGTGATGCGATATCTGGTGGTTTTGATTTGCATTTCCCTGAGGATTAGTGATGTTGAGCATCTTTTCATGTGCCTGTTGGCCATGCCTTCTTTGGAAAAATGCCTATTTAGGTCCTCTACCAATTTTTTAATGGGGTTATTTTATTTATTTTTTTTTGCGGTACGCGGGCCTCTTACTGCTGTGGCCTCTCCCGCCGCGGAGCACAGGCTCCGGACGCGCAGGCCCAGCGGCCATGACTCACAGGCCCAGCCGCTCCAAGGCACGTGGGATCCTTCCAGACTGGGGCACGAACCTGCGTCCCCTGCATCGGCAGGCGGACTCTCAACCACTGCGCCACCAGGAAAGCCCTATTTTTTTTTTTTTTGATAGTAGTTCAACCTCATTGCTGACCAACAAAAAAACTGAGGTATTTTTAATAGTTAATGTGACTAAAAACCATTCAAACTAATGCATTTCTCCAATGCAGCTATGTGCCTGATACTGTGCAAAGCATGGTGGAGGATTCCGAGGGCTGCAGGATGAGTCACAGATGTTTCTACCTTCAAGGAGCTTATGAAGTATGAGGGAGTTAAGACCCATCTTAACCAATGCCACAGTAGAGCCTTCCTGGATTCCCAGCACCACCATTAACTAAGTGCCTTCATAGTGCTATGTATTAAGAGGTTAACTCTGGTGGGGGTAAATCAAACTAACTATGCAGTTTGGAATACTAAAACATAGGCACATCAACATAACTACTAAAGGGGAAAAAAAGCCTTGGGATTAAAGTATAAATTTCCAGCTATTAAGAACAAGTGCTTTCATTTTTTTAAAAATAAACTTTACTGAGGTATAATTTACACACAATAAAATCCACACATTGTAAGGGTATACATGAAAGAATTTTAACAAATGTATATACCAATGTAATCACTACCCCAATCAAGACACAAAAATTTCTGTCTTCCCAGGAAGTCCTTCCTGCTTTGCAGTCTATCTCCAACCCCTATCTCACCTCAGGCACCCACTGACCTGATTTCTATCTCCAGAGATTAGTTTTGCCTGTTCTAAAGTTTTACATAAATAGAATCATACAGTATACTCTTTTACACCCAGCTTCTTTCGCCTAAAATGATGTCCACGTTAATTATCTATGTTGTTGTATGTATTGGTAGTTCACTGTTTTTTAATGCCAAGTAGTACCCCATTGCATGGATCTGTTGATAGACATTTGGGTTCTTCCCAGTTTTTGGTTGTTATGAATAAAGTAGCTATGAAGATTCATGTATAAGTCTTGTGTAGACATATGCCTTTCTCTTGAGTAAATATCTAGAAGTGGAATTGCTGAGTCATACAGTAAAAATATGGTATATATATAAACTTTATAAGAAACTGCCAATTAGTTTCCATTTTCTATTCCCACCAGCAATGTGTGAGTTCCAGATTTCCCACATTCTCATCAACACTAGGTATTATGTCTTTTTTATTTTAGCCATTCTAATGATGTAAAGTGGTGTCTCATTGTAGTTTTAATTTATATTTCCCTGATGACTAGTGATGTTGAGCATCTTTTCATGGTGCTTATTAATATATCTTATTTTGTGAAATATCTATTCGACTCTTTTGCCCATTTTTTGAAAAGTTAAATTGTTTATCCTCTTATTGAGTTATAAAAGTTCTTCATGTATCTTAGATACAAACCCTTTGTCAGATATATGTATTACAAATATGGCACACAGGCTTAACTCTTCTGTGGCATGTGGGATCTTCCCAGACCAGGACTCGAATCCATGTCCCCTGCACCAGCAGGCGGACTCCCAACCACTGCGCCACCAGGGAAGCCCTGGTTTGCCATTTTTTAAATGGTGTCTCTTGAAGAGCAAACAGTTGTGATTTTTATGAAGTCCAGTTTATTAAATTTCTTTCATTGTACTTGTCTTCTAAAACATCTTGCCTACCCCAAGACTGCAAAGATTTTCTCCTTTGTTTTCTTCTAGAAATTTTATAGTTTTAGCTGGTAGGTATAGGTTTATGATCCATTTTGAAATAACTTTTAAATATGGTCTGAGGTAAGGATCAAGTTTCATTTATTTCTATATGAATATCCAGTTGTTCCATCAACATTTGTTGAAAAGACTATCCTTTCCCCATTGCATTACATTGGCAACTCCGTGGAAAACTCAAATCATCCTATATATGTGGGTCTACTTTTGACTATTCTCTTCCCTTGATTTATATGTCTATCTTTTGCACTAATCTCACACTCTTTTGATTATTGTAGCTTTATAGTAAGTGTTTAAATTAGGTAGTTTACGTCCTATAATTTGGCTAGTCTAGGTTCTTTTCATTTCCACATAAATTTTAGAATCAGCTTATAACTTTTACAAAAAAGCCTGCTGGGTTTGTTTTTTTTGTAATTTATTTATTTGTCTATTTTTGGCTGCACTGGGTCTTTGTTGCTGCGCGTGGGCTCTTCGTTGCTGCGCGTGGGCTACTCTTTGTTGCGGTGGCTTCTCTTGCTGCGGAGCACGAGCTCTAGGCGTGCAGGCTTCAGTAGCTGTGGCACGCAGGCTCAGTAGTTGTGGCTCACAGGCTCTAGAGCACAGGCTCAGTAGTTGTGGCGCATGGGCTTAGTTGCTCTGCGGCATGTGAGATCTCCCCGGACCAGGGCTTGAACCCGTGTCCCCTGCATTGGCAGGCGGATTCTTAACCACTGCGCCACCAGGGAAGTCCCTCCTGCTGGGGTTTGAACTGAGGCTGCCTTGAATCTATAAAAGCTGACTGCCAGAGACTCCAAGATATTAAGTAATTTTTTAAAAAGTCTTAAAAGAATAAAGATCTAAATACCATTTTCAAATAAAGAGAACTCTGAACAGAACTGC